AGACATGAGGGAGGTAGAAGCTTGAGAGCACCTCGCAGGCTTCTAGCATTTTAAAAATTCATCCGTGTGTGCTTTAGCTAGTTTGCTGCTGCCTTTGGGGTGTCTTTTCACCATCCTTCTTTCAGTTTCTCTGCCCTGCATGGGGTGGGCTTAGCTGTTAGGGTTTCTGTGGCTCCTAGAGCCTCGGTGGACAAACGGAAGAGTCTTGGGACAGAAAGAATTTAGGGTGACATAGGTGTTTCTTTGTATCCTGAACAACTGTGTGTCGTGGGCCAGATTCGTGCCTGATAACCCCCCAAAACTGAGATGTTGGCCAAAAGTATTGCTATCAAACTGGATTAAATGCTTTTAGCAAAATCTTTTATCGTTTTGTTTTGTGTGTGTTCTTAAGCATGTGTCTGTACATACGAGCACCTGCGTGTGCACACGAGGGGACCACCAGACAACACCGATGTGTTCTTCCTCCTCCGGCATCCTCTACTGCTTTGTTTTGTTTAGTTTCGCTTCATTTTGTTTTGTTTTGAAAACAAGGTCAGTTGTTTTGAAAACAAGGCCAGTTCAGGACTCCCTGATTCTGCTAGATGGACTATCAGTGACCTCCAGGACTCACTAGTCTCTGCCTTCCCCAGCGCTGGCATTATAGACATCATGGGTGTTGGGAATCTGAACTCAGACCCTCATGCTCAAAGGGCAAGGCAAGCACTCCACTGACTGGGTTGTCTTCTAAGCCCCTAGAGAAATGTTTTTTGAACATCCTGAAAAGGAGATGTAAAATAAAGTGAAATCTATGATACTAAGCTCTCAAAAAAAAAAAAAAAAAAAAAAAAAAATCTGCACTTCCTTATTCAGATTTTTAAAACAATTATGTCAGATATAATTAGAGGTGTCTGGTGTGACCCTCTGGGCTTCTACCCTTCTCTCTTCTCAGAGGCATCCATTGCCCTGAACCTGCTGACATTCATTGCTATGTATGTTTTTATTTATCAACAGATATTTTTGTATCTCCTAATAGTAAGTGGAGTTCTTTTGCGTGAGTATCTTTATGGCAACAGTGTAGCACTGTACACACTTCAGTTCCTTGCTTCCTCCTTTGCTCTTCTACTTGTGATATGTATCTGTTCTCACACCAGTTTAATTTTCCCATGCTGTACAGAACTGTTGACATTTTATGACCCACTATTTGTGTTTGTAAGTAAAGTTTTATTAGAAGATAGCTGTGTCATATCAATAAATACATATATATATATATATATATATATATATATATATATATATATATATAATTAATACAAATAGCCAAGTTAGTCCTTACAACACAGATGAAAATCAAATGCCTAGCAAGACCTCCATTATGTAACTATAAGTGGCCCTTTACAAGAAAACCTGATCCAGGCTGCACAGTAACACATCGTTGTAACTCCATCTAATACCAAATTAGTGACGATTTGGGTCCATGCTAATTTTTTTCCTGACAGTGGCTTTCACATACAGTTTTTATTTGTTTAAAGGTCTCTTTTGAGCAGGAGGAGGAGTTACAAGATATTAATAAACTGTTCTCTAAGGTGGGCCCACTAACTGCTTGCCTTTCCAAATCCAGGAGAAAGCCTCTCCCTCCAAATCTTCATCAAAAACCTATACTCTAGGACCGTAAGTCTGATGCTTCGTTACCCATCACTGGCAAGATTTTACTGACCACATAGCACTCCCTTTTATGAGAAATACTCCTCTGTCCTTTGCCTGTTTTTATTTGTTTGTTTGCTTGTTGCCTTGCTGACTTTCGCCTGTTGACTGTAAAAATTCTTTGTATATTCTGGCTGCTGTTCCTGTTGGGATGAACCCATAGCTTATTTTCAAGCCCACACATAGATGCATATGCAGATCTGTAGGGTGTCTGCACACATGGTTAACAGTCACACACCACACCCAGACTGGTTTTCCCTGGGACAGTTTGAAACCCTCTGAGTCTGAAGGTAAAGTAAGAGGATGACATGCTGGCCTGGCCGTGTCTCCACTCAGATGCTGGCATGAGCTGGCCCTGCCCCCTCCTGGACCCGTCAGCCTGCTCTTCTAGGCTGTTTGAGTGAGTTGACTTGTTCTGATGCTCTGGCTGCACAGACATGAACCAGCAGGGTGTAGGGAAGCCGAAGGCCACTGTGCTGGATACTGATGAGCAGAACGCTGGGTTTGAAGTGTTGCCATGGATGAAAACCAAATGTGATTTGTGGTTTTGGATGTCCCCATTTGGGTTTTGGCTGCAGCCAGACCTTGGTTCCAGATTGATTAAGTTAAGCCATTCTCTGGCCCGTAGTGACTTAAATAATTAACCCTTTCATTATCAGGCCCGATGACTTTCGGTCCCTTATCCTTATAACCCAGAGCTCTTGTCTGCCCAATCTCACTAGCTCCTCTAACCTTTCAAATTAAACTTTCCACCATGAATGAAAAGGGAAAAAACAATCTATCCTCCATCAGGTTTGTGTAACTGTGGAAGTTGACCACGTCCTCAGACCTATGATGTCTGAGTACATCAACAGAGCTCAGGGAGACATGGAGCCGACAGATTCCAACTCACACTGTATAGTCCAGTACCATGGAGAGACACTGGGCCTTCCAGCTTTGACCATGGAGAGCCTCAGGGCTGGGCCTGGCGTCCACTCTGGTACTGTTCTTACCACATGAAGTGTGGATGCAGCCTCAATTCCTTACTAGAGGTCCATGGCATCTCCTTTCATCGTCTCTAAGCATTCACTCTGGGGGTCGAGGACAGGCCTAGCTAGATGACACAGCTAGTGAACCACACAAAAGCAATCTCATAGGAAATCAGTACTTATATGGCAATTTCCATCCCTTGCAGGGAAGTGAAGACAAAAGCCAACCCAGGGCCGTGTCTTCGATCAGTGAGGGAGGTAAATAGAAATGACTTAGCTGCTGTGTGTGGTGGTTCACACCTTTAATCCTAGCACTCTCTGTATCACGCCAGACTCCGCACTGGACATTTTCTTGTCTTTCTCCTCTGATATGGAAACTGATGCTGTAATTGGGAAGAGTGACACCGTGGGCCTGTGACTGCTGCAGTCACACCACGTTGGTGTTTGGCCTAGAAGTACACCACACCTAGTTTTATGCTCTGCCCTTGTCCTTGTGTGTTTTTAATAATTTTTAGAGCATTTGACCACACATTTCAATTTTCACTGGATCTCATAAGATTATGGAGCAGATCCTGGCTACAGAGGAAGCAGCCAAGGCTTGGAGAACTGAAAGGAAGTTCTCACAGTGCTGAGTGGTTGAGATTGGTGATTGCTTGTTTTTAGGTAAGGTCTCACTGCATAGACCTGCTTGCCTTGAACTCTCAGAGATCCACCTGCCTCTGTGACTGGATTACTAGCATTGGAGGTGTGAGCCACCACACACAGCAACTAGAGACATTTCTACTCAGCTGCTTCACTAACTGGAAACAGGGAGGGATGGGAAGCAAGGCAGACTGTACTGTATAAATACTATTTTCCTGGGGAGATTGCTTCCGTGCTGTTCACTAGCTTAGTGTCTGCCTCATGCTATCAAGTCAGCATCTCTTTCCTGAAGAGAAACCCAGGGCTATGATTTCCTTTAAGGTCCCTCACAGGATGTTAAACAGTTGCTGAAGAGAGAGTTCCTGGGTAAATCCAGGGCCTGCTTGATGGCAAAGAAGAAATTAAGACAGCCTGAAAGAATGAGAAGTCTGGTCTATAGGGAAGGCATCAGAGGGGCTGGGGCGATGGCTCAGTCAGTAAAGAGTTTTCCACGTGAGCATGGGCACCTGAGGTCAGATCTTCAGCATCCACGTACTTGGGTGTGTGGATGCTGATCTGTAATCTCAGGAGAACTCCAGAACTTGCTGCCTCACACATCTAGCAGGTTGATAAGCTTGAGTTCCAATGAGAGACTGTGCCTTGAAAATAAGGTGGAAATCAACTAAAGAGGACCCCTGCTGTTGACTTCTGGACTCCACCCCGATACACATACATGAAAGCACACGCATAGAGCGACAGCATACATGTATGTATACACACATATTCACACTTTTTTTAATCTAAAAGGAGAGAGAAGATATAAGAACCGTTGGTAGTACATCAGCTGGTCCCTTCCTTGGAGGCAGGAGGTCTTCAGCTCGGCTGCTGCTCTGGTTCTGCTATTGCCCTGTGCCTACTGTCACCAGCCATCCCTTGTAGACTCACAAATAAAGTCAGTGAGTTCCAAGTGTGAGACCAAAAGATTAAAAATTAGCAGCTATTATTTAAGGCCTGAACTAGGTGGGTGGAGAAGTCCAGTAATGCCCTGAGGGGAAGAACCACTTTACTGTATTCTTTCCCCACCCACTAGAGATACAGTTGCTAAGAAACTGGCCCATCCCTCTAGGGAGGGACACCAGGTCATTAATGGTCTGAGGACCTTCCTATAGCCAATCAATTCAAAATGTAGCATTTTGACCAATAGATGCTTGCCAGGCAGGAATTGCCCCTGCCTTGGGCATGCTGGGAGGGACCAGAATCTTTAAATCCCCCAACTAACCTGAGCACAGGGCTCTCGGCTCTCACCACTTCAGCAATGGGGGTGTGGACCCAAGCTGCAGCATGTAATGATTTATAAAACCTCATGTATTTACAGCGGAATCTATTTATTCCTGGTCTTTTGGGGTTCACGAACTGGGCAGAACACAAGCTCTGCCTCAGATTCAACAAAAGCTGCTGGTCAGCCTAGGGTTGACTATTGAGAGTAAGACTTTGACCTCTGGCTACGTTGGTGTGGTCACAGGACAACATAGCAATGGCCTGGAATAGGGTTTAGAAGGAGACAGGATAAAGCTTGTCTTGTCCAGGTCATGGGCTGGCCAGGCCCTGAATAGATGAGCTATGCATCTAACCCTATAGCCTGACTATGCCGCTTCTCTCCCTAGAGAAGTCTCCTGAGTCCTCAAGGGGACAAGCTGGCCTCCCTGATGACCCACTCTGTTCTCTCCGCAGCGGCGAACCCCCTGCTCTGCTCCACAGCCCGCTACCACTGCAGGAATGGTCTGTGCATTGACAAGAGCTTCATCTGCGATGGGCAGAATAACTGTCAAGACAACAGTGATGAGGAAAGCTGCGAGAGCTCTCTAGGTAGGTGCCATTCCCCTCTACCAAAACAAAAACAAGAAAAGGGATGTGACACGGTAGAGACCAAACCCACATCCTCCTCCAAACAGCAGCTCTGGTGATCTTTGTACTTGCCATCATTCTGGGTGTTGCATAGTCTTGATGAAACTCTGTCTACTGTTTTGACTATGGTATCCTTCGTATGTCAAGCACCAAATACATGTTTCTCCTGCGGTGTCCTCAGTTGTATTACATCCTACTGCACTGCTCCGCTGTGGTTTTCCAAGTTGTGTTGTTGGGAGCCATGTGAGTTGCCTCTCTGCATCAAATTCCCTCTCTGGGATGACTTATGCAGAATGAGATGTCATTTCTCCACACAGCTGGCTGAATTTTGTCTTTGGTTTCACTGCTGTGCCTGCCAGTTCTACCCTGACAGCTCAGTCACATTCACAGCTGCTCTGGTTTTTGCTTTTTTTCTTCTCATTTTTCTAATTTAGTAGTCATGAAATGATAGCCTCCCCATATGCTGCCATTTGTGTCTGATTATGAGGAGCACTGGAACCCCCAGCCCCTCCAGTTTGTTTACTACTTGGTTCCCTCTTGTGTGAATTGCCTGTGCATACAAAGGCTCTTGATTTGACATTATTTTGTGGAAACTGAATGCTGCAGCTGGAGGATGGAAGAGGAAGCACAATGATGTCCTTCCTCTCTGTCAAAATTCACAGGATCTTATTCAGTGAACTTATTCATCCTCCTTCCTTCCTCTTTTTCTTTCCTTCCTTCCTTCTCTCTTTTCTTCCTTTCTCCCTCCTCCTTTCTTTCCTTACTTCCTGCCTGCCTGTCTCCCTTCCCCCACTCCTTCCCTTCCCCTTCTTCCTTCTCTTCCTCCTTTGCCCTCCCTTGGGTGTTCATATTCTCTCTCTCTCTCTCTGACAAGGTTTAGTATATACCAAGGCCGAACTAAAAACTTAACTGTGTACCAGAGAATGACCTTGAACATTTGACCCTTCTGCCCCACTTCCTCAGTGCTTGGATTAGAAGCATAAGCTGCTCCGCCTGGTTTTACTTAGTGCTGGGGATGAAACCCTTGGCTTCACACATGCTAAGTGAATATTCTACCAAATGAGCTACACCTCCAGCTCAGAAACATGCATTTTTTTCAGTGATTATAATGAAATACAAAGATTTGTAAATGTACATCTATTTTAAGACATTCTGAAGAACATGTGTTTCTAACGTTACAAACTGGTTTTATTTGTGTGTGATCTCTCCTTCTTTCCCTTAATAGTGTTATATGACTGTGTTCACCCATATTATTGCTTGTTGGTAGAGTTCATTTGTTTTCCAGTGTTCTACTGAATGGTCATGCTTGTATTTTAATAAAGCCACAAGACAAGCAAGAGGTTTAACTAGTTGTTAATATGTTTGGAGATGGAATTAGGTAGTGGGAAGCTTGGGGAGGGCAAATATAGGTTGTTTTCAAGTCCTAGCTTTTTATTTTGGTTGGTGTTTATGATGTCATTACAAATGCACGAATGAATGAGCAAATGGACCATATTCACATCACCAGTGGGATGTGGACCAAGCAGGAATTGTGACCTCTAACGTGTGTATGCCTGAGGGCCACAGAGAAGGTAAAATGCCAGCATCTTCAGGAAGGGCTGAGTGAGACAAGTGCTGGCAGAGCTGGAAGCTTCTTTGGTGGAAAACTTACCTCTTGGGTGTTTTCTTCATCAGTGCTACAATGAGAGTAACTCTTGCAGCCACTGTCATCTCTGGGGACTCCTGCAGGTGCCGGGCTCCTGCAGACCAACCGAGTCAACACGTGCACTTGGGTCCAGCACTGCAGTCTGATGCCATGCCGGCGGTTCTGTTGCCCATGTCCGAGAGCAGCTGCTCTAACCTCGCCCTAGCCTTAGAGAGGAGTTTGATCTTGCCATTTCCCTAGGAAAATTTAAGCTCCTGTGCATGCTATCCTTTTCAAAGTCAAATTTTTATAAAGGAAAACATGCTGAGGTAGAGCCAGCGTTAGGTGCCAGTGGGGAATGGCAATCACAGAGCTAAGTAAATACACAGGTAGGAGGGCTGGAGGACATGTTCTGTGAAGACTGTTTCTTACATAGTATCTGGTATGTTTATGTCTCTTAGCCTCACTAGCCTGAGTATTTCATCAAAGGACCTCAGGTCTAGATTTGGAGTAAGGGGTATTGATTTGTTTGGGCCATTGTTCAGCATTCTGCTATGTGTTCATGTTCCCAGGACACGACTTCTCCAGTTTCCTGTGCCATTTTTTGACCAGGTTGCTGTTCATCCTTTGGAGGGATGGCTGGTGCCTCTGTAGGCTGGCTGAAGTTAGCGCTTTTAACTTCTGCTTCTTATGCTCACATATAAAGATTTTTAGAAATAGTTGGCAGTGGATCCAGGTCCTGTATTTGTTTTCTGAAAATTGTTGTTGAGGTTCGTCCTGATTGTCAGTCCACCAGGATCGATTCTATCCCTCCGGAACTGTGAGCTAAAACAAACCTTTCTCTCTTAAGTAGCTTTGGTCAGAGCATTTATCACAGTGATGGAAAAGTAAGTAAGATAACCTGCCTCCCCCAGGCCATGTATGAAATCACTCATTATCAAATTAAAGACTTTGAACCTTGTGGATGTAATTATTTCTCCCAAAAAGGAAACCATAAAAGAAAGGAAAAAGTTTGGTAATAGACAAATATACGTGCAGCCTAACCCTTGAACAATCCTGAGCATAAGTTGTCTCCCCTAGACCCTGAGCTTTGTATGTTACCACCCAAATGACGGCAGGGCACCAGTGACACCTCCATGTGAGGTGATGTTTGTGCCAGGAATGGAAGGTGTGTGATTTTGTCTCCAATCCCCGGGGTCCTGTCTAGTGACCCATTGCCTCGCCCATAATGGGCTCCATAAATGTTATCAAATGGGAACAATCTCTGTTGTGATTATATATGTTAAACTTGCAGTCTGAGGTGTCACACTCTAACAGTGTGTAAGTGAAAATACCCACGGTTTATTAAAGCATTGAGAATTACTAATATCATATATCCAATAGGAAAGATTCTGTCATTCCCTCTGTGGGAATATGTCCCAAAGTGAGCACAAGATAAGATTCTTGGGTGTGAGTCTCCTTGGCCAACCTGTGTTTCTGCATCCAATGGGAGTCGAGTACTCAAGGGTCCACCTTGTAGGCTCTAAATGTGAACTGCTTGTCCACCTTGCTGCGTGACAAGTGTATACCTGTCCTGTGGGGAAAATCATTCCTGTGCTGGGCTGTTGAGAGACAGGGTTCCACGCGGTGTCATCCTTAAGCATCGCAGAGGTTTTGTGACTGGACAGAATGTGTACTCATGCCTCGTGGGATTATCAGCAGTTACCATACACAAAGTACTCTGCTCAGTGCCCCTGCCAATGAGCTCAGCCCCTGGGCTTCCAAGCCTTTGAAAAACATGTTGCTTTCAGTTCATGTGGGAAAAGGAAGAAATATTTTACAATGTTTATTTGGAAGATATGAATAAGTCTGACTTCAAGGCAAGGACATGGGTTGTTCAAAATGCCTTTCTCCTCCTCTGAGTAGACTGAAACCGACTGTGGATCATCTCTGAAAACATCCTCATAGTCTGGGAGGAACTGGGAGAGACTGTCAGACTGTATGGCAGCATGCTGTAAGGAGGCATTAGAGATTGTGTGAGGTCAGATTTTTATCAGGGCTTCACTGATTTATAACATCACCTGCTGTGTGGGACTTTCAGAAGGGTATCTTTGGGCAGCTCACTGCGACTGTCCTGCTTTGTAACCAGGATGTTGTGTATCTTAGATGTAGTAGCGGCTGCCATGCGAATGGTGGTAAACACCATTCTGGTGACCTTGAAAATGTTACTTGAATGTGGCTTTGGTATCTGGTGATGGCACTGCCTGTGTGTAATCCCACTTCTTTGTATATGATCTAGATTGTTTGACTAGTTTGTGTTCTTTCTCTCTCTCTCCATCCCTCTGGGAAAATGCATAAAATTGACTATCAACTCTTGAAAGGTATTTTAACGGTTTTAAAGTTCAGTGACAGAAATTGTTCTTCATTTATGCAACCACTTGCTAGAACTTTTACATCTTGAATCTCTAAACTCATTTAAGAAACAAAGAAAAAAAATGCTCTCTGCTCCACTCAATAACCCTGGTAGCTACTTTCCTACTTTCTGTCTTGATTAATTTGGTAGTTTTAGGTAGTTGTATAAGTAGAATCATATAACATCTCTTTTTTTTATAAGGTACTTAGTTCATTTAGCATGTCATCAAGGTTCATCTATTTTATAGCATTATGGCATTTTCTTTCCTTCTAAAAACTGAATAATATCCCATTTTATTGTTGATATACCAGATTTGATTTCTTTGCCCATAAACACTTAGGCCACTCACACCTTCTGACGATTGTGAACCATGCTGTGTGAAAAGATGAACAAGTTGTAACCTGCTTTAAACAAAAGAAATGCAGGAAGCATGGTGGAATGTCATTTCCAGGGTTAGGTTCCAAATACCCATCATTCCCTCTTGCTCTGTCTTGCTTTCTCTGATGAACGCCACTTCCCATGCTGTAATCTGTGCGATGCAGAGGCTGCAGAGGGAGCTGAGGGGAGGCTCTATCCTAAAGCAAGGAAGGAACTAATGCCTACCAGCCACCTCAGAGGTGAGGCTGGAGCAGGAGCCTCTCCTATGAGACCTCAGTTGTCATCCTGCAGGAGACTCCAAGCCAGGGTGACATTAGAGAACTTGTACACAGAGTGCATCGCAAGGAGGCACTAGTGATTGCTATTCTAGTCTCAGGTCATGGCGATCATCCAGGGCTTTGGAACCCCTTCCAAAAGGGGGTTATATAAAGTCCTTTCATGTGGACCTCTGTCCCCATTCCATTCGTGTTGTCCTGCTCTGTTCTGACAACCCCGTCTTCACCCCAGGAGCCTGAGTTCTTCTTGCCCACTTTCTGGATGAAGAACTAAAGGATACTTAGGCCAAGT